TCCAACTTGCCAACTATGGCAACCATGAAAGAGGAAAAAGGAAGGCCGGTGGGGGGGGCGGGGGAGGGTGGGTCATACATCAGTAGGTCCAGAAGAAGCCTACAGTGCTCAGCTTTCAGCCGCGAGATGGAATAGCTGTTTGGAGAGATTCCTGGGGAAGAGGGAGATCGACTTACGGGAGAAGGGAAGGAAACTGTAGTTCAGCCCAGTCAGGTACAGCATCGTGATGTGTGAAATTGTGGTGTCAGTACGACCCCCCTCGAAGGAGGGTCTCGATACGACCCCCAACCTAAGAGAGAGTCCCAGGTGGTGCAACCTTCCCCCCCTTCACCCTTCCCCAACACCCACATACCACTTTCCTACAAGTTCCCAGCTTCCTTTCAGTTTTTCCGAAATTTCCCACATTTTCCACCCAAAACTATTCCGTCGAGCGGGGGAGAGAGAGGGGGGATAGGGAGGGGGAGGGGGGGGGGGGGATATATAGCCAAAGTGAAACGGGAGAAACCGCGGAGAGTCAACAACCTCTTCCAACAACGACCAGATACGACCTCCCCTCCCCAGCGGTCAAGTTGACCCTCATGTTTTTCTTGCAACGATGCTGTACCTGGCCAAACTCAAGTATGATCGCCTCATCCTTCCGCCTGCTCCATCTACTTCCTTATTTCCCATTCTCTAAAAAAATCAGGTGGGTGGGATGGGAGCGTACTAGCTGCTCCAGAGAGGGTGGAATATTTTCTGGTCCCATAATCCCACTACCTCGCCAGGATACATTCCCTTCCCCTAGCATAGCGGCATCAAAACACTCATTCTATTAAGATTCTCCATGACGTCTTTCCTTGAACCATTCTTTGCAGGAAACACACCTTTCAGGTCTTTAACTTCCTCTACCCCGCTTCATGAAGAGCCAACGAAACGGTCCGGTACAAGAACGGAATCAAAGGGACGTTCGCAGGCCCTGTTCAGCTTGGAGGGGCATCTTGCACTCCAGCTGGTTCCTCTTGTTCGTTCATGAAACTTCATGATAACCCTTTTGTCGACCCAGTTGAGCTAGCAGTAATAGTAGTATAAGCGAGCCACTCTGATCGTAGGAATTTACTGGTCTCCACAAGGTGGCCTGCACAAGCCTAGCTGAGTACCATTGGCTGCCCCCACCGAGCAGAATGGCGCCCGCTCGCAATCGTACAACTTGCTTTCGGTGCGAAAACTTCTGAGTTGTTTGGTAACCCCACACCCCACCCTTCATTCTCCAAATGTAGGCGGAGGAGCTTAAGCTATCCCGCGTTACTCCTCCCCCCTTTTGTTTTTACTAACTTTTGCTGCAGCTATTAAAAAAAACAAAAAAAAATTCGAACCACTGCGAGTTGCTAGGCGCTCCCTCCATTTCTGCAGCTCACCACTTCACGCTTCACAACCTTAATCGATGTTATTTTCCCCATCGTAACACACCTGCAAACAACCCGTACGGGTCTGTAAACAAAAACATTCAATCTACCTGGGGAAATGGGGACTAATTTTCGCACCAGAGGCCATTAACGTAGAAGTGATAAAAATCGTATTCCTGCAACAAATGATAGCCGAATACCCCGGGCACCGTCATAAGGTCCTTTTTACACGTGCGCTAAATGCGCGCGATTATGCCACCCAACCTGCGCGGCAGAGCAGCGCCAATAGTACTGCACGTTCCCAACGTCTGCACCTCCACGGCCATCTTCGTGTTATCTTCTTTTCTATAGCGTTCTTTTCAAAAAATGCCCGTTCTTAGTCCATACGTGAGTTACTCTTTACGCAAGTTTGTGCGCGCTCTTACAGGCAAATTCACACCGGAGAAGGGAAAAACACACCCGTGCGCGTATGCGGCGCGGTTTTTTTGACGTCACGGCGGCAGGGCGGAGCGAGGGATGGCCCCGCCAATCAGCAGCCGCTTTTATGTGGAAGGAAAAAAAGAGAGAGAGAAGGGATTTAACAAATAGTGGATGCTTATAGGTGAATTAGTGGTGAGCAGAGAACACAGAAAAGTCGACTTCCAAGGCGCTTCTAATCTCGCCAGTTCCGCCATTGACTGAAGCAATTCGCCGGAACCTTTTCTGAATTCTCTACTCACCACTACCTCTTCAATCCTCTTTTCTCTCTCTTTTTTCCTCTTTTCCCTTCGCATAAAAGCGGCTGCTGATTGGAGCACAGTGGCGGAGGCGCAGGCCATCATCCTTCGCTCCGCCCTGCCGCCGCGGTGACGTCAGAAAACCGCGCCGCATACGAGCATGGGTGAGTTTCTCTACGGAGCCCATTCACTCAACAGTCAGCCGCATGTGCCAGCAAGAACGCGCACACACGATAATTTGGCCATCAGGATGTCAAGCATCACGCTGGTGTCAGTACGACCCCCCCCCTTGCAGTGGGACTCTACACGAACCCCCCTCTATTTTAACCTAATGGAAAGAGAATAAAATGACAATCGTATTTTTGAAGGGCCGTATTGCACTTGCTTTCGTTTCAGCTGCGTCGCGTGTCGGCATCGGAGCGCCCTTTTTCATTTTTTTCAGAACTTTTCCAAAGAGTTGTAACTTCTCTCTTTCTTCTGTGGAAAATTCGATGTTCACTACCAGCTAGGCAAGGTAGTAGGGAGTAATTGGTTCCATTAGCACGACCCCCCCCCCCTTCTGTCATCAACGTTGATCTCTTTAATCTATATCCTGATGTCCCCGCATACGATTCCCCTCTAATTGGGCAAGAAAAGAAAAAAGAGAGAAATAGAATGATTCTAGCTCATTAGATGAGAGACATGCAGCGCATGAGAGAACACCAAATGTAAGAGATGAAAAAATGTGAGGAATCTAGCATTCTTCGGGAAAACATGAACATATCGGCTTCTTTCGAAGAACGCTGCGATTTGAATGTCTCTAATGAGCTGCTTTCTAGGTATCCGACTGCAGGACATACAAACAACTCCATTGGAATGTGTCAAAACAGACATAAATCATTTCCATCTCCAAACAGACCCCCATAAATCAATTTTCATTATTCCCCCCCCTTCTACATACACACACAGAGGTTAATTACCTTAGGGTGAGGGATATTTGTCCTTAACTAGATGAAATAACGATTTGAGTTACTTCTGAGCCGATTCTGCCTACCCCAGCTCACCTAATCCATAGGTTGAGCCCGAACAATACAGTCGTAATCACTTAACAGTTGGCACGATAAATGCCTGAGACGAAGTAGGATTAGTATGCCTAGCATGAAGGGATTCCGTGACCCTGAGCAGGCGCTGCTTAGCACCTTTCCCAAGGAAGGTACATTTATAGATCTATTAAGCTACAACATACCGACCCGAACGCCCACCACGCCCGCCCGCCCACAAATGGACGACTGTTCCTGAGCTCGTTTTGCTTCATTTGCTGAGTAAAATATAGCGAAGGGATTGGTGTGAAGCAGCTGCTGTGCTGCACGGAAATATGAACCATACGTGCAGCCGTATCTACCGTAGCGGTTATTGGCACGATGCCTACGGGAAACTCGTCCGAAACTGCTTCTCAAGTCAATGAGAACGAAGGCTTTTTGTGGCCGTTGACTTCGTTTTTTCGCCCATATTCCCGCTATATAACGTCCCTCTGGGCATTTTAGGGCCAGTGCAAATATCGCGCAATGCGTGATCATTCGAGTCGTCCCGGCGAGGCGTATTGCCCGATGCTGCGCCGGCCATTTTCCGCATCGCCTCGCTTTCGCCGTTCAATGAATGGTGATGAAGGGTTCGCCGTAGCGCCAAACCAAACTCACGCCTCCTGTAACACGCCCCCCGACGACCAGTGAAAAAAGACTAATGGTCAGTCTGACTTTCCAGGCCTTAGAAGGAATCTCTTGACCATCTAAACAACCCTCTGCATTGGCGCACGTGGTGTGATGGTAGCAAAGAAAATGAGACGTACGGGGACGAGTCGGGGCAAGGATAGTGCAGGTATGCCAGAGGTGGCGCGACTGCGCCACGTCATGTCGTATATGTCTTGAACTTATCTTGCCATGTCTTTTCGAAAATTCAGGACGAACAGATGAATTTCCATTGGCAAGAGGGGCAGACAAGCAAACATGATGTGATGCGCAATCCCTGTCACCCCCAACTGCCTTTGGCCCTCAGACTCTGGACCGAGGCGAAGCGTTTTCGCTCATAAGTGAGCAATACTGCGATCTGTTACAGTTTATTGTGCAATAGAGGAGAGGAACTAATTTATCCCTCAAGAAATGTATCAAATAGGCCAAATGAGTGAATGATGAGTGACTTGCAAACCAGCGTAAACCATGCCTTATCGGCTGGCTCAGTTGCTAGGGTGAAAGCTAAAATGACGCTCAAGAACAGCAGGTGAGCCGTTCACAATTTCGAAGTTACCGAACCTGGACCTAATGGAATTCGCCCCCCCCATCAGTTTTCACTTTGACAGCAACTTCAGTGATAGTTTCACGGGGTAGACCAGCAAAGACGAGAGTTAGAAGCAGGCTCCAAGGAGGAGCAGAAGCATTCGGAAGCTCGACGGAGAAACGCGACCGAGTAACTGAACGCCGTTCCAACGTTGAGACTCAAAAAACGCCCAAAAATACAAAGGTATTGTATTACAATGCAAGGAAAAAAAGCGAATTGGGAAGGAGACAAAGCAAAGCGAAGAAATGCGAGGGTACACGCTCAAAGTCACTTCATTGAAGCTAAAGTAGGTGGGGGTTGCACAACCTCAATGCAGTCCACTCTTCCCATAAGAGAAGGGTCCTACTGTCGCACATTTCTTGACTCGTTTTCCGATCAAATGGGCGTGGACCCCGGAATTGGCGTCAGTCATGAGACGGTACAGTATGACGCATTTAGGAAACTTCTTTTTCCTTTCCTCATTTCCTAGCCCTTTCGCCATCCATCCTCCCCTCTTCGGATTCGTTCACACTGCTGAATTACCCATTTGAGCGATAATGCACTAGTGACGGAATGAGGAGAGGGGGTGTTGATGACAGCTAAACAGCTGAACCTAGACTGGTTGGGACTTCTTGAGCGGAACTACCAATTTCGCTTTCGCTAGACAGCCTGAAAATTTGATGGAAAATGCTTCCTAGGGTGGATTTGGGCTAAGATTCATCCGCGGAGGTTATTTCACTACCTGAACACAAACTGGTACAATAATGACCTGCGTTTGGGCTATAGGCGCTAATGCAATCGTAAATACGCCTGGAATCGGATATGTGACAAGAGAATCGTAATTCGCCGCGCTGATGGGCGTCGCGTGCGACGTCGCGCCCGCAAATGACGATGGTTCCAGTTCAGATGGCGACAATAGGCAATGCAGAACCGAAAATAGGCATAAATGTCTACATTCGTAGCCCACGTGAAATCCGGTGCTCCATCGATAGGCTAACACGAGTTAAGAAAACGCCGCTCCCATCGCCGCGCGCGGCAGAGCGGCAAATTACGATTCTCTTGCCCGTCTCCCCCTGGAATCGGAACCCGTGCTGCGTGGTCCAGTAGTTCTTGCACCAAATGGATGAGATAATAGGGTTCTGAAGGCCGAACTAACTATTGGGACAAAGTTTTACATCGAGATTTAGAAGATTTACCCACGCCCTAAACTCCTAAAATGGTGAACAAAGGGTAAGTAGAGGTGAAGGTGCCACGGTAGCAGCGACTCCTCACACTGCGAAACTTATCTTGTGAGTCTTGCCCCCTCTCTCCTGCCCATATCCCCACCCGCGAACACTTCTAGCAATCAAATTCAAAGAACCTTCAGAAAAAATTCCGTTGGTCTGTTGAAAGAGTAGAAAACGGCCATCAATAAAACAACAATGAACAATTAATTTATCGCACCATGAACACATGATCAATCAAAGGAAAAAAATTTGAGCAATTGCTCACAGTTAGCTGAGAAACGGAAAAAGAAGAAAAGAAAGAAAATGAAGAAAAACAAATTGGTTGAGAAAAGGCTCACCGACGACTTCTCCTCGTAGGCATCCAGTAACGCTTTCATACGCCCGATTCACGTACTGTACCACTTTCGATTCGTCGCATACCTCTACTGCTTGGTCCGCCTGTAAAATATTGAGTTACCCGTTGAGTTGTTGTTGTTTCACATTCGTCAAATGGGCGGAGTAGGGCTTATTACCGGGCCTTCTTCACATGCTCCATTTCTTTATTTATCCTTTTAGAAAGGAGAAGCGCACGAATGGGGAATATGCAATGGGAGGCCCTATAGACGTATAGTCTTTTTCGCTGTAGATGCAGGGGCGTGTCAGGGGGCTGAGTTTGGCGCGGCGCCAGCTCGATTTTCACCGATTTGTGGTCTTCCCGCTTCGAAAATTGTGGAGCAACGGCTGCCAAGCCACCAAACCCAGCCCCCCCCCTATCCCGCTGTCTGCAGCTAAAACGACTGCCCAATGCACCATGAACGTGACCATGACTAGTGAACCACCAATATCAAAAATAGTCACTATAAAATATTTGGGGGTGTGGCATTAGGTTCGCTTTTCTGCCAAACTAATGTGCCGCTCGGAGCGTTCACAATTTCTTGACAAAGACCAATCGATGACGAACGAGATGGTGAGCAAATCTGAAGGGTTGAGATCTTATAGGATGAGCAATTCACCACCGGAAATCACTACTTGCAGATTTTCCTGGACGTCGCGCAGCGGCTAAAAGTTGGACCTATTGTCTCTTACGGGGCCTTGGCGACCAAGTAAGCTTCCAGCTCGAAAAGGATTCCTGAACTCTGGGTTGTGCATTGAATTTTCATTAATGCTCTCGAAGTCCCCTCTTTGAGAAACTGGAATTTTTTCACTTACAATCGTGTTACACTGGTCCCCCCTGCGAGGGCATGAAACATGCATTCCTCTTGTGCATGAAGCTAATCAGCTACGCATATTAGGAATTCTGTGAGAGTATTCTCACGGCTCTGCACTCATACACTACTCCCTAATGATCAACATCCATCTCAGTTCAGTATCGCCTCGGATTCATTGAATTCATCTGTAAAAGCACTGTGAGCAGGGCACGCCATCGTTGTGATAATCACAACGGGAGGGGGGGGGTCGTATTCTGACCGCGAGGGAGGGGTGGATCGTATTTGGTCCGAGGAAAATTTTTTTGATGGTTGATTTCTCTTGTCACGGACGCTATAAAAGGGGTGGGGTCATATTTGGTCGTTATTGGGAGAGGGGGAGGTCGTATTTGAGGATGGAATTAGATGGGTCGTATTTTTCAGAAATTTATCGTGCCCTGACTGTGAGGGTTGAACAGTAGCGCACAGCCTATTTTTCCTAGCATATGGGTTACCTGGAAGCTTGCCAAGTAAAGAAGCTGGAAGCTTGCCAAGTAAAGAAGTTTTTCCCTTCCCGATTTTCGTACCACAGAGGTCGACGTACACCTGATCGTCGTAATTGTCCGGACGATGTCTGGAAGCATAAATGGCCTTCCCGCTGCGTTTTCTGCCACTGATTGCTTTCTTCCTAAATCGCTCACTGCCGATCATTATTGGTAGAAAAGGCAGCTGTGGGCGGGCTCACTCTCGCCTCCTTTCACAGCCCCCGACTGAATGTGACGACATCTCTCCATAGTCGACATTTCCACCCTCTCCTATCATTCTTCTATGTGGTGTCATCCTTAGGGCGGGAACGCTTGGTTACCGTGGGCGAGATCCGATCTACGAAAGTCGCTAAAGTACGGCGAGGCTCCTCCACCATTGCGCTACAAAGGACAAGCTCAACAGATTCCTTCGAATCAAGGAAGCAAATATTCTGGGCACAATTTGGCTAAGAGCCAAGTCCCTATCTTGCCTACTACTCATTCCCCTCTCTCGAAGGAGAGCTGCTGACGATTTCTATAGCCGTCGTACGGCTTGGGAGCCTCATAAATCATTCGTGGGGAAATGGACGTAGTGAGTAATAGACCACATATCCACTATGAAAGATTAAGAGATGACAAAAAAAGAGTAGGATAATTAAGACGCGAAATAACCCCGGGCGGTGATGAATGCCACTGCCAAAATCGATCAGAGCTCCTAAAAACTGGCTACCAAATCGGAGAACATCCTTTCGGGAATTTCATCAGGGAAGCGAACCGTGTATGATCCGATCTGGTGAGCAGGGCATGTTACGGTGATGAAGAAATAGGTAGTTCACAATGGAACGCTCCATTTCTGCTCCAAACAAGCTACATTCGAGTATAAAGTCCATGTTTCCCACTTTACCTAACCCTTTACCCCCACCTACCTCCAGTTATTAAGTTGTCAATCGAAAGGAGGGGGTAGGCAACTAACAAGCTGAATACGACCCTCCTTCCAGCTGTTCACACTACAATTAAGAAATCTTCATCAGGACTATTTGGCTGAAACGCTCTCACTTCTTTTAGTCAAAGGGTTTTTGCTCAAACAAGGCGTAGAGGAGGGAAAGAAAATCGGAAAAGTTGTCAAGTCGAGCTCAGCAAATGCTAAAGGGGTCGCTATTGAGGCAACGGTCTAAG